ACTTTTAATTCATCAATTTCCATCATACTTTTGTCCTGAAATAATTAATTCTACAGTATTAAAATATTAATTATTGTCATATTCGTCATCACCATCAGTATAATTATCATTGTCATCATTACATCATGATGTAATGTCATCGCCATAATGAGCATTAAATCCGTCGTCGTCGTCGTCATGATCAATTTAATTATCTTATGTTTGGTCATGATCCAACATGGATGCCATCTTGCAGCTGCCGCACCATTTATATCAATATGAAGCATCTACCAACGTTTTTTCTTCATCTTTGAAATCTTCCTCACAATCACGCACGCGTCGGCGCATCTCAGGTATTCTCCAACATCATTATGCTTCGTCCTGTTTTTGCTTTCATTAACATACGCCTCATATTTTCCATCTCAACAAAAATTGTTCGTTCACATATTGGGAAATTTCAAAGATATGTAACATATGTCTGTACGAAGCGTATAAGGTTTGATTCAAACAAAAAATAATTATTTAATATATTTTTAAACTCACTATGAACAGTGCACATGTGTTTGCATTTGGATCATCAACTGCGTATAAAGGGATTGGTAAAACAGCAAACAGACAATCATTTAATTATTCAGTTCTGCCTCAATAAATCATCATTCAACATTTCAAAATTTCAAACCAACTTTGTCACTGTTGTTTCATTTTGGTATCATTCCCACATATTGCTTCCATGTAACTTACTCTTCATTTCCGAACACCGTTTACATTTCTCAGGCAAATTATTTTCAAACAATGTTTCTATCTAACCAGCTTATTATTTTTAAATGTTGCTGTGCCCAATTCAATTTCATTACCGTTTGTATTAGTTTCAACTGCTCATTTATTGTTAGAACATTTTAACGTGTGACAAAAAGTATTTTTTACTTGGCAATTACATTTCGTTTAATCTTTTTTGTTACATGTCGGGTTTTCACGCTCACCTAATCACACTGCAAAGTTATCCACGCAAACAATTTCGTTGGTGAACTTTTTTCCACAATTAAAATTTTGTTCTCGATAAAAAATCTTTTCTCGGGCTTGGACCATAGAATGTTACCTAGGGCTAATTTGTTTCCAATATTCACCAGGGATTTCTAAATTTCTCTGTGAATTGTTAAAAAATATTCAATTTTTTTTCTTTCTACAAAAAGAACTCACGTCCTTGCAACAGATGCAAAAACTTTCAAACGTGCATATTCTTCAACGAGTTGTTATTCTTAATGTTGTTTGATGTCCATCGACAGAGCACCGTCATTTTCAATCCTGCATTTCATTATCTATGTAATCTGTATTTTAAATATTTTAACAAAATTTTTTGTTGGAGTTGCAGCTACTAATATTTTTAAAATATAATTTGCTGCCGCTATAAAAATCCTCCCATCATCCTCCTCATCATCGTCGTCGTCATCAACTTAACAAGTTCTCGGACAGCGTCAAAAGAAGCATGCAGTGGAATTAGTCACGAGCTTATTTAACAGCTTTTGTTTATTTCTTGACGTCCAATTTTCTAAAAAGTTTTCCACCTTCAATTGTTTAATTTATTTTTCACTTCATTTACTTAAAAAAAATCTACCGACTGTTGTTTAAAGTTTCACGTGCGCTGCCATGCATGGAAATTTACTTCGAGCCGACTGCGAATCCGCGTTCAAAAAATGAAAAATAAAATATGGAAAGCGGAAATGCTTTAGCGATTTTATGTTTGTTTTTTGTGTCTTTGTTTGTTGCTGTTACTTTTTGTCACTCGGTTTAATTTTTGCAATTGCCCATTTTTGCTTGCGTTGGTTTTTTTTATTTGATAATGCGTGTTCAAAATGCTGCTAAATATTTGACATTTTTTTGAAAATGTTGTCAAATATTAAATAAAAACTCTCTTGGATGTGAATGTTTTTTTTTAAAAAAAGAACAATTTTATAAAATAAATTGAAATGAAAGTAACGACAATGACGATGATGTAATTAATTATATAACATTATGTGGGTTTAGTCAGATGCATCATTCAATCATTAAAGGTGAAAGGTTAAGGTAAAGGCTCTCTCTCATTTGCGTTGGCTTCAGAGGTTTTAACGACAAACACACACAGCGTATATAAATACGCGTGCAAACAACGCATCGTACACATTGCATATGATATGCGGGGATCTCTTTGTATTAGAACCCAATCATTGCAATAGCAAGACCATTTAACCGCCTTTAACCATTGAGCCATCACGCCGCCCAAATCATTAACAGTTATTACCTTTCATCATGTTTTGGCAGTGACGAGATCCAGCAGTTGCGAAAGATTAATTTTTATGTTCCTACACATAAATAGTATTTAACATATAACATAAAACAGCATATAAAAGAGCAATTATTTCGTGATGCTCAAACTTCTTGTGAAAAAGTTGATCGCGAAACTGCAAATCCTTGAATCATAAATTCCATCGAATAAATTAATCTAAATATAGTAATTAAAATTTGTTCTATTATATTTTGATTTGAAAAACATCAACGAACATTGAATTAGAATGTAAAATCATTAGTCAGCGTTGATTTAAATAAAATTGTGGGGTGGCACTGTTTACTGCAGCACAATGACCTCCAACGTTTAACCACAACTTGTTTATTGATTATTTTCTTTTGCTCAAACAACAATGTGTCAACGATTTATCACTAAAAAAAATTATTTTTATTTATTATTTTTGTGATTTGCATCATTGCTTAAATGTTTGTTTAATACTCAGAAAAATTTGTTTCACTTTTGTTTGAAGATATTCAAACGGAAAAATTTAGCCAAATTTCAAATAAAATATTCAAGACAAATTGTTCATAGTTTATTTTTAGATGCGTGATTGTTGACGATGTTAGAATTAAAAATTACTTTTTAACAATTCGATTTAATGAACATTTAAATGTTTTATAATTTTTCTAAACTCTGATGCTTGTATGGCATAAATGTATCTGGATGGAGTAATTAAAAGCACGTTCGGCTCTTGTTAACAACCCACCCCAATCAATCAACTTTGTTAATGTTAATAAATTGTTATCCTTCCACATTTCCATCATTCCTCGCGCCATTGGAGGAACTGTTGACGTGTGAAAACCTCGTAGATAGTGAACATCGTTGTTGTAACATCTCATTGACAGGCTTATATAATGTTTGTTCAGATTGTTGTTGCATAAATTATTTCGCAAAATGTTCAATAGTAAACTCTTTTGAAGTAATTTCTGCTTGAAAATATCCTAATAACACTTTTATTTAGTTTCTGTTTAAACATTTATGCCGTGGATCTCAATCTAATTTTTACGCGATATTTAAAGTGAGCCTTCCAAATTGAAAACTTTCGCGAAGGCGTGCGACGTAAATTGCTGAGAGTGAAAACTTTATTGCTCTTTTATTTTGTTCCTATTTTTATTTTTTGCATTTTGATGTCAACTCGAGAATAACATATCACCAAAATTATTTTTTTATTTTTCGTGAAATAAGCATTAAATATATTTTTAAGTAATTTCAGGAAATTATATTTAATGAAATGTATGTTTATTTGATCATAATTTTTAAAACTCGCTACTAGAGAAAAAATTAAAAGCAATATCAGCGGTCACAAGATTCTTCAAAAATCTGACAAAACGATAAAATAATTAACATCAAAGCATACAGAAACACAAACAACACAACATCAACAACAACATCAACACAAACAACAACATCAACAACGCAAGAACGCCATGAAAGAGAATTGCATTATTAAAAAAAGGTAACACGAAAGTGAAGCATAAAACAACAGGCATAACAAAATTATCGGTTAAAAACGTTTCAGTAAATTTTTTATCAGTCTCTCGAACTATGTATTTATAACGAACGTGGTTGTAAATAATGAAAAGAGAAGGAAAATATTACGTAATAAAATTTTTTCATGCTATAGTACGTTAAAATAGATTGCATAAAAAAACTCCATATCTGTACTCTCGTCTATGTGATTTCCCAAGAATGATTTTTTTTTTCATAATTAATCACTTCACTAAAAAAACTTGAAAATTATTCATGTGAACGTCTGTCAAATAAAATTTATTAAAGTGCGTTTTGGGAGATTTTATTGAAATTGAATGAATCAGAACGAGTTAGCAAGCTGAAATATCAAGCAGTATACAATTATACATACATACCTTACTTATACTACTGACAAAAAAAAACCAGCTATAACCCTACGGAATTATATTCAACTGTAACACACACACACATGTGTGTATGAGTGTGGGTGTGTATGTGCGTGTATGTGAAGTGTATGTGTGCGGATTGGTTTAAACACAATTTATATAAATAGCAGAAACATTGCAGAACATGGTTTTCGTCTGCGTCGTTTAAAAAGACTTCGCTGGTTTACGTTGAGCGCTAATTCAAAACGTGTCTAAACAAAAGATATTAGTATGTTTTTATTTAAATTATATTTATTATTAATTGATTTGAAAGTTATGGCAGCCCTCAAGTTGCCCGTACTCAAGTTTATGCTAGACATATATACAAAATTAGACCCAATAAAATCGACGGATATGACGTCACTAACACCGACAACGACAACATTTCAGCCACAAAAATAAAAGCAAAAACGTAAAAAAAACAACACCGACAAAAGCAACCACAAAAACAACAAAACCATCAAAAACAACAACAACAACAACAGATCATTATTGGCTTGCCGATTGAGACCAACCTTAACGAAGTTCTGGTGAGCATCAGCTATAAAGTATTTGAGTTGAACCAACAAAAGGACGCCGAAGAGTTTCTCAGCTGTATACTGAACAAGATGCACGAGAAACTGATCGACCTGGGCCTCCAGAAAAATGATTTCGAAACAACATTCTTCAACAACTTTAAGGATCATTATCATGACGGCGATGATGATGATTATGATTGCCATTTGCACAACAATGGCGGTGATGATGATGATTATGTTTATGGTGACGATGGTAATTGTTGGCAGTAGGCCAAATCCAGAAGCAAGATGGCCAACACCGTCGATCCCCCGATGATGGAGAGGTCTGCTATCTCGGACATCTTCCGAGGGCAGGTGGCTTACCTGCTGGAGTGCCCCGGGCAGAAAAATTTCATCACCCTACAGCCGTTTATCACGGTGCAGTTAGACGTTCAGCACCAATCGGTGACGTCGGCTCAGAAAGCGCTAAGAAAATTTGTCGCTAGGGAAACCGTAAAACTAATTACACCAACTCCTCAAATATGAAAGTTGACGCCACAAAACGTACCTTGTTTGATGTGCTGCCGAAGGTTCTCTTACTGCATTTTAAGTGGTTTAACAACGACGCCAAAAGAGAACTGCTTAAAAACACCAAGCAGTTTTATCTAGATGAATGTCTGGAAATACAAAACGACTAAACGACTCAATAACCCGGCACTCCAGCAGAAGAATGGCTGCCCACATGACGAAGTATGAACTGTTCGCCGTGGTGACGCACGTTGCGTCGCTAGCCATAGGCGGCCACTACTACACCGACGCCTTCCACAGGGGGTACATGCAGTGTGGCTAAGATACAACGACGAAAAGATTGATAAGGTGAAAATGACACAATCCGTGTCGTCGTCATCTTTTATTTGAAGATGTTATTATTATTGTTGTTGTATGATCATGTATTACCATGCAAAATTTATCATTACCATTGTCATCAACCTATGTTATAATAAACACATAGCTCAAACAAAGAATCAATTAATTAAGAAGGTAGTAAAATTAACAAAGTCAATAATAATAAGATTTCCAATTGCCCGTTGTTTAATACTTATTATCGGATGTATTTGTTCAATGAGTATTATTTCGGTTTGTCGTAAATTATAATAGTTGTTATTGTAATGTAAGATTTCGACATTGTGTTCCAAGATTAGTCTAGTAATTTTAGTTTTGTGATTCTCTTTTATGGGATTCTTTATTGAACCAGTTTGTACGTGCATCGTGAGTCTTCTCGATAATTTAGTCGTCATCATACCAATATTTTCGGAATTATGGTGCCCACACTCACCAATATTACACTACAATATTACATATTAGATGGCCATGATCCATTATCGATTCTGGTTTACTAGTGCAGTTGTTTTTCATAACAAGAGATGACGTTCTTTGGTTGGAGTAGTATATTCGTAGTTTAATACTATCGTTTTCGTTGGTAGCTTGGACGTTATTTTTATGATTCTTTTTATGATTTGTTCATCCTGTTCGAAAGCGGTTGACATGTGATTTTTTAATTGCATTGCAATGTTATTTTTGTTACTATTGTTGGTTGCAACTTGTTGTTGCTGATATTTTCTCCTTTGCGTTCTATTATTTTTTAGATCATGGAATTTTTTTATCCATTATCAATGAGTAGTTCAGTAATTCTACCTAGTTCTGTTCTCTTGCTTCCGATATAAAAAAAAAAGTGCATATAGACTCGGTTTACAAAGACAGAGATCGCGCTCTCAAATTTGTCAAAATTCACTATTGCCATTGAGTCATAAACCTTTGTTTGTTGCTTTGGTGTATACTGAGGTATTAAATTCTTTTTGCACATTTTGTATTAGTACTTTTAGAAATGGTATTTTATTGTCAGTTAATTTTTTCATTGTAAGCTTTTTTAGATATGTCCAACATAGAAGTTTGCGAAGAGTACTCCCAATGGAGAGCCCATTGCTACACCGTCTATTTGCTGATAGAATGTGTAACGCAAGAAAGCATCAGGACTGGTTTGATGAGAATCGACCTGACATTCTTGATCTTTTGCAAACAAAGAATAAAGCCCATAAACATAAGCTCAGCAACCAAGACTCACCAAGTCTTAATCTTGCATGGAAAGAATCACGTACAAAGGTTCGGCGATTTGTGGGCAGAGGAAGCTAAGGAACTACAAAAATTAGCGGATACAAAAAATACTCAAAAATTTTACGATTCTCTCGAGTCCGTCGATGGACCGGCCCAGTACTCTGTTCATTCAGTTAAGTCAAAAGATGGTCTTGCAGTGATCAGAGACCTTGAGGGAATCTTATCATGCTAGGCCGAGCTGTGTATCATGTTGAACTGTGTCGACCCGGTGGACCCGACATTCATAGAAGCCCTTCCAAAACTCCAGGCTGTTGCTGAACTTGATAGCCCTCCTACACTCGATGTCAGCCGCCAAGGAAATGAAATATAACAAAACGGCAAGACCTGACGTCATTCCCGCAGAGATATACAAATATGGCGGTCACCATCTAGGCCAGCAGCTGCATAATTTCATTCCTCGAATGTGGACCAGTGGCATAGTACCACAACAATGGAAGGATCTAAACATCATTATCATCATTGTCAACAACATCATCATCATTATCAACAACGTCATCATCATCATCATCATAGTCCTCAGTGTCAACATCATCGTCGTCGTCGTCATCATTGCAAGGATAGGAATGAAATTTTTTGCTAAAAATAGAAGGTCGTATATTACAATTAAATGTGTTAACATGTTGATGAGATGCAAATACAATGCCAGAGCTAACAACAATACGAAAAATAATAATAATAGAAGCAGCAGAAACAACAACAATAATAAAATAATAACAACAATATTATTATCATTATTAAACTGTATAACAATAAATAATAATAATAACAATAATGTTAAATACAAACAAGAGCGATAATTAAATTGCATAGTAAACATCGACTAACGCAATAAGGTAAGGGCAACAAATTATAAAATAATAAAAATCCGATTAAAGAAAAAAGCAACAATGATAGTACAAATAATAATAACAACAGCATCATCAACAACCATAACAAAATGGTCAACAATCATAAAAACACTTTCACAGCAATAGCATAATAAAAATAATAATAATAAAAATAGAAATAATACAAAGAAAATTATCTTTGTAGCGCCGATAAACAGAAAACATAGACACTGCAATAAAAAGCCAACGACAGATTCTAGTACCACATTCTAGTACCACAACTACTACTGGCCTTAACATTACCACCACCACCATTACTACTACTACTACTATTACTACTACTACTACCACTACTACTACTACTACTACTATTACTACTACTACTACTACTGAAATAGCTGCTACCACATTCACTACAACAACAACTACTACTACTATTTACTATTACTACTACTTCTACTAGTACGATGATGACGACGACGAGGATGATTATTACTATTCATACAATCATACAACTATTTCTACTACTACATTATCACAACTACAACTAATACTATTATTATTTTATTATTATTATTATTATTACTAATACTACTATAACAACTACTTCTACTGTTGCTACTGATTTTACTACTATCAACGCTACAAATATTTCTAAAACCATTATATCTATTTGAAGTAGTGAATTTCACACAGTAATATGACATAGTAAATTTTAGCGCGTGTTAGTATTTTTAATGCTGTTATATCAAACTTTGATCACTAACACTACTTACATTAAATTGTGACATTAATTCATTCATAAATTCATTAGTAATTAATATTAATATGCCGTCGATAAAAATAAAACTTACTAATAAGTTAAAGTTTAGAAATGCAACTACCACCATATCGTTACCAGAATTCGGTACTGATAATATATGTTTATTCATTTTTAGTTTATTAATTCAATCATTTAATCATTCATCTACTAATTCAGGGATTTTTCTCTAATTCCATATCTACCTACAATTCCATGATATTAACTTAGAGGCATAATATACGTAGTGGTGTATCAAAAGAAAATAAGCGCTATAAAATATGTTTGGGGATAATTTGCATAGAAGTTGTACAGTTAGGCTGTCGTAATTACAACATTATCGTCATCATCATCATGACAACATTATCGTCAACGTCATCATTATGACATCATCGTCACATCATCATCATTATAACATTATCGTCATCATCATCATTATAACATTATCGTCAACGTCATCATTATGACATCATCGTCACATCATCATCATTATAACATTATCGTCATCATCATCATTATAACATTATCGTCAACGTCATCATTATGACGTCATCGTCACATCATTATAACATTATTGTCATCATCACCATTTTAACATTATCGTCATCATCATCATTACAACATTATCGTCATCATCATCATGACAACATTATCGTCAACGTCATCATTATGACATCATCGTCACATCATCATCATTATAACATTATCGTCATCATCATCATGACAACATCATCATCATCACCATCATTGTCGTCGTCGTCTTCGTTATTCACGTTTTTATATGACACTTGTGATAATTATATTATATTATTTTAAATAATAATAAGAAGTAGTTGTAGTAGTAGTAGTAGTAGTAGTAGTAGTAGTAGTAGTAGTATTAGTAGTAGTAGTAGTGGCAGGTATGGCAGAAACAGTAGTAGTGGTGGTAGTAGCAATAGTAGTAGTAATAGTTATAATAGTAGCAGAAAAAGCAGTTGAAGTAGTTGTATTAGCGGTAATATTTATAGTAGTATCATCAACATAAAATTTCCCGATAATTTTGCAATTATTTTCCCCCACGAACAACATCAGACATCTGCCATCAATTTTTGAGAGACCGTTTTTAAGCATAAAAAAAAGAGTAACGCCACTCACTACGCTAGAACATTACGACGCAAAAACGTTGGAATCATCAAAGGACAACAAAATTATAAGGATCGATATAAAAATGCAATAAGGGCTGGCATAAAATAAATTAACATAAACATTCATAAACCCTAGCATAAACAACGTAAGAACAACAACAAGGACAGCGTATACAACAAGAACAACGTAAACAACAATAAAAATATCAACAACAACATGAACCGCAGCCGCAGCAATAACAACATTATTATACAGTGCCGTGATGTGAGGACCATGCTAATAATGACTGCATGTATGGAGCGTGATGTAGAGCAGTTAAGTGGGGGTTAAATTAAAAGTCAACAAATAATTACACTGCGTACTAGTATGGCCTGAATAGTTATTGCAGCATGACATCGCTGACGTGGGAGCCGGAGCAGAATGCAGTGGACTGCCTCCACGCACAGCTGGATAACACGGGTTAGACACAACGCATTATTATAATACTTCATGCTTATTATGATATTATGTTGAAACTACCCTTCTTCCAGTCACAAAGACATGCATCTGCCAGTTTCATCGAAAATTTGGAGTAAACGAAAATCATTTAACTCGCTTTGATAACGCAACCACTTCATTATTAAATATGCATATTGTGAAGGCCGGCGATTTTCCAAAATAAGCTAATCAAGAAAGCAGTCCTTAATTTCATAATGCTGAGTAAAACAAACAATAAGAGATGGAATTCTGTTTGCGAGCTCAGCCAATGAAAAAAAAAAAACCTCGCTACGTATTACGATTGCTGGAGCGAAAAATTATACGACGAATTTATTTGGGACTTAAACAAATTTTAAAAAGGAAGAACTTTTGTTTTTTCGGTTTGAAATTATTTTTTTATTTTATTGGTTGAACTTTAACCGCCAGAGAAAATGTAGTAAATTAAAAATATGCCTCAGTTAGTAACCATGAAATTTAAATAATGCCAGATTGAGAAAAATGAGAAACAAATAGTTATGTAACAACAACATACAACCGCATTACATGCACAATCGAACATAAGGTGATATTATTTTTATTTAAAGAGGCCGCAACAACATAATGTTCAGCAATCTAGCAGAACAATCATTCCATCTTTTTCCTTTGTGTGCACTTCCGCGAGAACATACAACACACGAATTGCTGGATGTTTACAAACCCACACAAAACATCCATACATCTCTCTCCATCTCTTATTGCAGTTTCTCTCCTTTTCCTACATTGGCAATCAGCTGGCGGCACACTGTGGGAGTTGTTATCTATCCGCTCTCTTTAACGATGTAGTTAAATCATTTTACGAGCACTACACAAAAGAGAGAAAGTTGAACAATGCGTTATGATGCAGTGCTCTTTATCAACTTGCTGGTGTCTTCTTCTCCTTTGGTCTCCAGGCAGCTTTCTTTAATTTTGAAATACTATCACCTACCACAACCAACACAGAACATATCACGGCGTATACACGGCATACACAAGTATTTATAAAAGTTTTTTGTCTCGAATTTAAGCTGCTTTAAAATGAGAAAAATAAGAAAAAACACGAAAAATTTAGTAACAACATTTACAAAGGACACGCAAGTTATATGACAGAAATTATAACAACTACTACAACTGTTAAAGAGATGATAGCAATAATAAAAGCAATCTTAAAAATAAAAAATAATAATACTAAAAGTAAGTATTCTACGTGCAATGCAGGAACATTAATTTAGAGTAAGTTGTCAGGCGAAGAATGTTTGCATGGCATTTAATGGCCAGCCAGGCGAACAGAAGAACAGACGGAGATGCAATGAAACAGACAGACAGACAGGCGGACAAACATCTAAAATACAACATCCTTCACATTTTCAGGCACTATTTATGCTGGTATTATCGTAATCAATGCAATAATCGCCATATTTATTTTTATCTTTTTCATCATCCTCATCATCTTCCTGTTCTGCGTTATAATGTTGCACTTAAAAGTAGATGATAATATTTTATTATTATTATTATTGTTGTTGTTGTTTATTATTATTTTTGTTATTATTTTTATCTTTATTGTTCAGTAAATAATATTTAACATATTTTTGAATGCAATTTCTGTGGGGATTTTTATCCCCAAAAGATTGTTTCGTATGATAACATATACAACAACAATAAACACAATTTTATTTTCTTCAAATATTTGAAATTTTTATCGTAAAGAACTCTGTGAGAAATAAATGTTTTTTTCACAAAATTATGAAAAAAAAATTTATATTACAATAATATTCAAAAGAAGTTCTGAATATTGAAAGATCAGAGAAATGCATGCTGTGTGACGCCCTTACAACCCCTTCATTTGAAGTAACGCATCAAACATTTTCTAACTTATCACTAAGCACGATACAGAAACTTCATCAACAGAAACAGCAACAGCAACAACAATGCAACAACTCTACAACAACAACGAAATAACAACAACACAACAACAATAACAAAATATAACAATGCAACAAAAACGCTAAAACAACAATGCAACAATAACGCAACAACAACGCTACAACGAAACGCTATAACAACAACGTAACAACAATAGCAACGAGACAACAGTAACAACGCAACAACAACAACGCAACGGGAAGGTGATATAAATTCATAACATTATAAATTCACCAGAGTGTTGTTTGTTTGGATGTAATAAAACACAATTACCCAAAATCGTCCATGCAAAAAAAACTCCTCACTCTTCTTTCCGCAAAAATATGCCTGTGCAAATATTTCCATCCTAGCAAAATATGTGTGGCTGGAAGAAAACACAAAAAACCAAAAATATTTTTCAAAAAAAAAAAAATTTTACCGGAAATATTGAACAGGCAAATAAAAATAAAAAAAAGTGAAAAATTCATTAGAAGAAGACAGATTTTAAAGATTTGCTAGATTTTATAATTTTGTTATAATATTTATTCACACTCGTGTTACTATTATCATGTTATGAGTACCATCTTTTTGATATTCCGACTAGGACTACTTTGTTTACGTTGGCAAGCCATCAATAAACTTTACAGCAAATAACATTTGCAAACAACGTTAGGACAGCTAGATTGAGAGTTACGAAATTTCAAACTTACAGATGTTTCAAAACCCAAAATTTCTTGCAACAAATACATCAACAACAGTAACAACAGCTTCAGCAACAACTCTAACAAAAGTTTAAACATAATAATTTAATAAAACTGAGTTTAAATATTTGAATTCCCAAGAAGAACATGTGGTATTTTGGCACTTCCCTTTTGAACAACATCGATGGAAACAACAACTTCATTTATAATGATATTATATAAACAACAATATACTAACGAAGAAAGTCAAGTTGATCGTGATGAGGAATGTTTTGGTGCAGACCGATCCACAGAAGCCAGCACTCCTGCATCTCACATCATCGCTATCGTATTCATCATCAAAATCGCAGCAGCAAAGTTGTTGAGAAGTTGTTGAAGATGTTGAAGAGAAACGTCGGTTGATGTCGTTAGTGTTGCAAGTAGGACGTTTCGAGCAACAACTTTTGCGGCTGTTCTCACGTGATATCGTGTTCGATCGAGACCTGCTTCTGTTCCTTTGAAGTTGCTGATGTTGTTGCAGAACAATTTGTTGCTGCTGTTGCTGCTGCTGCTGCTGCTGTTCTAACTGTTGTGCTGTTTGTTGTATCTGTTGTTCGTCTATGTTGCATCCAGTAAAACTTGTTCGTGAGCTGTTGCTCGTGGCGTTGTTGTAACCATTGTTGCCGCTGATGAAGATACTGTTCCTCTGCTGTTTATCGTAATACATGTTGCTCGGTTTCGGGCTGGGAGTTTTCGACAACCTTCTTGCTGCCAAAACGGAAGTCGGCGTATCGTAGGCGTGCAATTGTAACGTTTGATCAATTTCTGTTTCAACTTTGTCAATTGTGTCTGTTGAGCAGCTGTCGTCGTAACGGTAATTGTAGTAAGTGGGGTAGTTAGAACCAATATGTCCCCGCTGTTTGGCGCTGTTGTGTCTTCGGTGGAAGCTGTGTCTGTATCCGGTGGCTCTGGGATGGAAAGATGAAGATGATGTTGAAGATGGAGAGAAGGTGTTTTCTGCAGTGCTGTCAAGTGAATGCGAGGCGGCTTGGGCGAGTACTTTGGCAGATGGAGTGGGGGATGGGAGGAGGGGGTGGTCCGTAGGGAGGTAATCGTCGATCGTCGGTGGGGTGAGCAGCGACGGTTTCAACTTCAAAGTGGCAGTGCTCGGCGATAACGATGTCGGTGAGGAAATTGTTTTTGTCGTCGTTAATTTTTTAAACGAACTGTTGGTCTGCTGTTCATTCGGTTTTTCATCCATAAGTTTCTGTTTGCTCGTGTTTGTATATCATGAGGTAACTTGGTGTTGTTGCTGCGGTGAACAATCGTATTGTACTCTATGTTAAGAAAAAACTGAGTGCTGTTGCAGTTGTGAACATTTCTGTACTTTAAACCAAAATAAGAACAAGATAAGATAATTGTAATTAATTGACCATCCTTCTGAAATTTTTCAGCACTTAGTCATTTCTGCAAATTTATTAAAATCAAAATACAAAAATAAAATGAAATTGAAATTCTAAGTAAGGTACTTCAATTTTATATCTTGATGGAACCTCTTCAAAACATTATCTGAGTTCATTTTATTTGACTTGAAAGTTCTTTTCGTCATAAAAACTTTTGCACTTATGAATAAATATTATATAAACGAATATACTTGTTTTCAGACGAGAAGGTACGATACCAGGTACATATAAGTTCGCATGAACGTTGAGCTGAGCAACTTCAAAGACATTCAGACGCTCATATTAATATTGCCACACTACACGTAGCATGAACTGTTTGGAAAAATTTCCATCCCATATAAGTCTTTTTATTATTTACACCTCTTAGAGCATGAAAAAATGTAAAAGTTGAAAGAAAAAATTGAAATGAAAGAAACTTTAAATTTATTTAAATTAAATAAAAAAAAATAACTCAACAGATAAAAAATAAAAGTTTGAAAAAATATAAAAAAAACTTTAAATTTGTTTAAATTAAGGATGAAAAAAATAAATGAAAGTTTGACAGGCGTGGCGGAGACATCGGTCTTATGTCTTCAGCACATACTGCTCACTCACAACCCATGCAAAAGTTATGTATTTACGTATGCATGCGAGTTTGTATGTTTTTATAAATAAATTTGTATTTATATATATATATGTGTGTGTGTGTTTATGTATGTGCTTATGTATTTATACAAAAAATTTTATGTAATTATGTGTTAATATGAAAAGCATGTATAATTGTATATGCATGTATGTGACACATCTCTGAGCATACAAAATGCGGTATATTTTTTATGTTTAAGTATAATTGTAAGTAGTTACCCACATAAGTATTTATATGTGTTAAGAAATCATATACCAATTATATGTGATTTACATGAATTTTTGGGAGATGTGTTTGTGCAGAAATAGAAAAAACACCACAAAGCTATTTAAAAAATACTTCTTTTTCTCGGTTTAACATGCAGAGCACGTAATAACGGCAGTTAAGATTAACACAAACGCATTAAAATTGTGTTCATTATATAATTTATTATACACAGTACATGCATTGTGCATGTATGTAACTGTGTGTGTGTGCATGCATGCGTGCATGTGTGTGTTTTGTGTGTGTGTATATGTATGTATGTGTGTGTGTGTGTGGTGTGTGTGTGTGTGGTGTGTGTGTGTATGTGGTGTGTGTGTGTGTATGTGTGTGTGTGTGTGTATGACGTTCTCATTAATTTTGTTGGCAGATTTTGCTACCTTGGTTGTGTTATCTGTCGAATAATCTTTTATTAAAGACGACGAGGTCACTGCAAGGCTAGCGAGGGCAGGGGATGCATTTGGAAAATTGAACACACGGCCGTGGTACGAACATGGTATATCTCAGTGCACCAAAGTTGCTGTTTACAGAGCAGTCGTGTAATCTACCCTGTTGTGTGGTTGCGAAACTTGGACCACATATCGCCGCCACATACTTAGGCTTGATTTGTTTCACATGAGATGCCTCCGTAAAATTGCACACATCAGATGAGAGGACAGGTGCCTAACACAGAGGTTCTGAAAATATGTGATGTTTCGATCATTGAAGCCTAATTACTCGGGCCCAGTTTTGTTGGACTGGTCATGTCGTTCACATGCCAAACAAGTGTTTTTTGGACAGCTGGCCACTGGAAGTCGTCTCGCAAGCGATCCAGTGTGGTGATACAAGGACAACCTAAAAGACAACCTGAAGAAATGTAGACTCAACCCAGGCTCCTTTTGTCATGATGCTCTTCGGCGTTCGGAGTGGAAAAGAAAATGCAAGTCCGCGGTCGATGGATTTGAAAGAATTCGAACCGCTGCTCTTGATGATAAAAAAAACGTCGTAAAATCGACGTCCAAAGCAGCATTGGCATGGGAGCGTGGGTCGGTCAGTTTTGTTCACGGGAATGCCTGTCAAGATTTGGACTCTGCACACGTGAAGACCCACCGATGACGGTGCAGTTCATCTATGTGTGTGTGTGTGTGGTGTGTGTGTATGTATACGTGGTGTGTGTGTGTGTGTGTGGTGTCAAAACATGTAAGTTAGTAAGTGTAGGTGTTTCCAGTGAATTGCTAATAAAGTCCAAATGACATCGTTCATCAAAACGGAAATGTGACCTCCACGATGACGAGATGACGTCATATACGGGTGAAGCACATTTGATTTCGTCTGACGTATTATGTTTCATTTGTTATGCGAATGGCTGTTTCACGTAATGTCTGTTTGTTTATTTGTTCATTTGTTTATGTTCACAAAAATTAATTGTCCAAAACTGCAACATACAAATTTTTACAAAACTGTTCGTGTTAAAATTTAATACAAGAAATAAACTACATTTCGAATATTTTAGCCAATACCTTTTACAAATCAATTAACATAACATGGTTAATTAACATTTCAACATGGTCTCATGAAAACCATTAACACTAACATCATTAACATTAACATCACTATCATCACCGCTCACATCATCATCACCACCGCCAATATTATTCCAGCTATATTCCGTAGCGCTTAGTTGAAAATTAGCTTGTGTCCATACTGAACAGCACAGTGTACGCATGCAACATTCACGTACATGCTACACGGACCTCAAAAGATTGAAAATTATGAATACACGTGCACCTACACATACACATACACAACACACACACAACAAAATGCAGAGACTTATGAGGTAAAAAAAAAGTATACATTGTGTGTGGAAAGGAGTAGAGAAATTGACGAAGAACGTAAGTGTAGAGAGGGAAGAGGATGATGTTATGTCATCAGAACATTGAAACGTTAAGTTGTTTGCATGGAGTAACTTGAATCAACTGTTTACCAAGCAGACAGGTCCTGCAGCAAACAACGTACTGAAAGCATATAGGTACACGCATAGACACATACGGAGACGCACAAATACACATACAGACATACCCATCGTTCACAAACAAAAACACACATACAGCCAAAGACCCACTCACGCAAAAACACAAACCTGTACAGAAACAAACAGACACAGATACATTAGACTATACAAACACACGCATACAGGCACGCCAACACATACAAAACCATAAATATTAAAATAGTCAAAAAACAGTTTCTTTTATTCAAATTTGCGCCCCTTCAATTTATTTAGCTAAAAATTAACAATTATGCAAAATTTCATTCAGTTATGACCATATTTAAAGCTTTTACATCAACAGTTTTTAAATATATACTTTTTCAGCGTATGATGATTACTGTTGGTCAATGCTATACTATTTTTGATCATTGACCATTTTTGCGGTGAAGGAATATTTTCTTTCTTGAAAGAAAGTACTTTAAGAAAGTATATTTTAGGTATACTTTCTTGAAAGAATCATTTGAGATTTTATCCAATTAATAGTCAAACTAACAAAACATTCACGTTTCTACATGATAAAGGCAACTTGTTCATAAATGGTCCACTTATTTGAGTAGCTGATAACTACCAACATGAGAAGCGAGATTACGTTTGTTCGTTGATCTCTCGTTGGCTGAAACAGTCGAGAGCATGACAAACAGTGGTTGATCGGATTCACGACGTATTGGCAGAAGTGTTAAAAACAGTGTTATATTAATCTGAGCGGCATAATTTAATTTTTTCATCTTTTTTTGGTAAGTTTTGAAAACCATTAAACAATGTTTTAAAAATTTTTTGTCTTTTTTTAAAAATAAGCCACCCCAAAACACATACACACATGAAGCTACACACAGAAACATCCGTCTACACGGAATATTTTCGCTTTCATATCAATATTGCATCAACGTAATGCCGTCTTCGCTGCTTGTTCGCCCACACACAAGTTTACAAGTAAGTGTTTGCACGCGGTTATATTCGCTACGCCAAGATATATTAGTATGTACGTGACGTACGTGTTGACTTATGTATGTGTGTATGCATGAACTGGACAGAACAATATGCAACAGTCACAAATGTGATGCAGCATAACATACGGTCAATATTTTTTCTCTTTCATTCATTAAATCATTCATCATTCATCACTGGGGCAACTAGAGCAGAATACTCTACCATCTGGCAATTCGGTAATAACATGAGCGTGTAAATATACGTGTGTGTGTGTGCGTGTGTGTGTGCGTACGTGCGTGTGTGTGTCTATCTGTGTGTCTGTGTGTGGTGGTGTGTGTGTGATGTGCATGCGTGTGATCGAAATAAAAAAAATGACTGCAGTAAAATTTTATCTAAATGATTATCTCTCTTCTTTATTCAAGTGTTTATTCAAGAACTATTTTGTATGAAATCTGTGGATATATGGAAGCATCATCCTGTATACAAAGTCCGGTGCTCGCAAGTCGTCATAAATCCTGCTTCCCATTCTCAAATCCTCTCTGCATACTTATCTTCATTGGACAAACAAATGAATAATAAAAAATTTCCTATTAATAGACATTGTTTGATTCTACACAAATGAATTTTATCTCACTTATTAAGCAGCATCACACGCTTGTTTCTTCTTCATTAACGTTATAACACATTTGAATTCATAATTTAATCCAATCATTTTCTAATTAATTCTGTGAAAATTGGAAGACGCAAAATCTGTTACAACACCACCAACAACGTTGCAAAATGAAAACAAAAAATAGCGGAAATTAACTTGTTAATAAGTGAATTAATTTTTAATTTAATTCAAACATGCATGTTTGTGTGCATCTTTATAAAAAAAATTGTATATTTCAATTTCTTATGCTTTATTCCGTTATTGCAGTATTGTTAAGAATCTTCAATTGATATACTACTAAAATTTTGTAGCGGCTGCTTTGGATCAAATATCTCTAAATGCAACAGAAATAAACTTTATCAAAGTCTTTTCTTAAATTGTTACCAAAAATCTCAACTCATGACTACACATTACAGGCGCAAACATTGACACCAAATTTATTAAATGACAATATGGAAGAACTAAATGCTTCTTTATATTCTAAATCTTTCAATGCTGCTAGACAAAAGTTTATTGAAACTAAATGAAATTTTTATAAATTTTATATTATTAAAAATGTTCAAAATGTTGATGTTAATAGATTTATTAGCATCATTTATCAAGAGATCAACATTTTGTTCGACCATGTATGGGCATTCGATATCCCATTAGCTTGAAATATTTTTATACTGAATACAGTTTATTTTAAGAAAACAATGCCACCATTTGTACGCAAGTAGCCACAAGCATGCACAGTGTGCACACATCACATGACATTTAAAGGCCGCCTGTA